GGTCTGCAGGGGGTGGGAGCCCAGATGGGAGAGGGGGAAGAGTTAACTTGGAGAAGGTGCTGAGTGCTCTTTGAAGAGGAAGGGCTGGGCCTGAGGAGAAAGGAGGTCTCAGGACACAAATCACTGAGCAGTTGTCATTTGTCCTGTGCCTCATTGTCATCCCATCACCCTGTATCTTCAGGAAAGTCTGTCACTACAGCAGTGATGGCTTGCTGCATGGATCAGAAGGGGCAGTGGGCACTGGGGTGCAACTCTGCTGAGAAAAGATGACACTCACCGAAAGTGGGACAGTGAGAAAGAAGGCTGGGCATGGTGGCACATGCCTGTAATCCCAGCAGTTGAGAAGCCGAGGCAAGAGGACTGTCAAGTGTTCGAGGCCAGCCTGGGCTACATTGTAAGTTCAAGAACAGCTTGAACTACCTAGTGAGACTCTGTTTCAAAAAAAGAAAAGAAAAGAGTGCCCTGAAAATGAGAAAAGATAGCAGGATCAGGGGGACGAGGGAATCTAAGAGCCCCTGGGTACCCTCAGAAATGCTAGGGAAGGCTCAGGACAGAGAATTGAGCTGTGTTTTGTGACTCTTGGAGGAAAGATGGATCCCAGAAGGCCAGGGGCTTGGGGGCACCCCTGTTGTTACCGAAAGTTTAGTACATTATCTCTACTCAGCAAATGCTTTGGAAACGACACACGCAATTCTGTTCTTGTGGCCATAGAGTGCAGAGCAGAGCCAGAGCTATGCGCCTGGCTGTGTTCCCTAGGTGAGCTACTCTGCTTCCCCCTTCCGGTTTCTCACCTGGGAAATGGAGATGCAATGGCCTCTAGCTCAAGAGGCTGTGAGGAGGGTTAATGCATGGAGAGCTAAGACTAAGCCCAGCGCTTGGACAGAGTTTGCATCTGATATATTCAGTCTATTGTTATCGCTATGGTTCTACAGAAACAGGTTCACGAGGTGAATCCCGAAGCTCCCAGGGTGCGCTGGTAAGCCAGGTCTCAAACAAAACAGAAGTCCTGATTGGCACATGCCAGCTCCTAGCACATAAACGCTCCCACCTTGGCTGAATTCAAACTGCCAGTTGTTAAATCGATGTTCGCCAAGTTCCAGAGAGTGGAACAGCCGGCTCTAGCTGCTCTAAGATGTCACCGCAACTGCTGGCACTTAGGACAAAGTGGAGCATTTTGCAACACTAGCTATGGTGACAAATCATCCACAGTGTCTGCTGAGTGTCCTCTTTGTCTCCATTTCTCAGAGCAGAAGTCAGGTCGCAGCACAAGGCAAGCCACTCACTGGCTGTCTGCCCCAGCACCATCTTCTCTCACAAGGCTGCACATAAGCTTACCTTCCGCTATTTCCCCATGCTCCCTTCGAGGGGATTTTCCAGGCCCCAGGCAAATGGGAGGCCCTGTCCCCTCCTGGACTGGCTGCTTCACCTCAAAAGTCCTGTGGCTGTAGTGGCAAGGAGCCCTTGCTGGCTGGGCTGCTGCCAGACCTCACCTGCCCCAGTGTTCCAAACTCAGATCTGTCCTGGCTTACCCTTGCCCAACGAGGGCTTTGAAAAGCCAGTTTGGGCAGCAGACAAGCAGAGGACCTTCATCCTTGAAAGTGTTGGGGGATGCAGGTGACTCCTTGCGCTCTGGTGGATCAAAGACTGCAGGGGTTGGGGAAAAGGTCAGGGTCGTGGTGAGTGGGAGACTTCCAGCTCCACAGGCAGGCTGGCTCAGTGCCCAGTAAGGGCTCAGATGAGTCACAGTGCCAACAGTCACTGAGGCTGGGCACAGATGCCCTTTAGTTCGGATGCGAGAGCCAACATTTTTGTGGCTCTTGATGCTAAGTGCTCCCTGAACTGACCTGGGTGTTGTACACATTCAGCTGTTGAACTGGGCTTGCTTCTTCATGATGCTTCCAACAACCACGAGGCTGGAGGGACCAAGGGACACTCCTCCCTTCATTTCAGGTCCCAATACAGCGTTCTGAGGTCTCTGGCGAGCCAAGATGAATGAACTGCCTTTGAATTTTTCGTGTTGAGGGTCAGGAAAGGACCTCTGATGGTTATTTATTTATTTATTGTACCAGGAATTGAATTCAGGAGCCCTGATGGTCTTGATGAGGCTCAGGAGGGGTGGAAGATGTTGGCAGAGCCCGGGAGCCAGCAAGAAAGGAGAAAGTGGGAAACCTCACCCTTTGTAGCTATTTGGGCCATGGAGCCAAGAAGCCCAGGTTGAACGTGCTTCAGGTGGGGCAAAGGTGAGGGGCTACAGCTCCAGAGTACAGGCTGGGAAATTCCATCTGCCCAGGGCATCATCAGACCTGGGCCTCCATTCCTACACTACGAGAGAGAGGCAGCGGCACAGCTGATGGACGAGGGGACTCGGGTAGGTGGGATTCTAGCATAACTGCCCACTGTCTTCTATCTCCCTTCCCAATTTCATTCAGTTCACAGGGCCCCTTACTCAGTCCACACTGAGTGAGGGGGTGGTCCCCCTTCTTCCTAAATTCATGTTCAAGTCTGTAGTCTCTGGACCTAGAAGGCGGGGTTCTAATTCTGGACTGCTGGGCAAGCTTCAGCAAATCTCTGACCCTTTCTGAGCCTCTTATGACCACATCTGGAAACAAGATACCTACCTCTGGGGGTTGCTGGGAGGATTAAGTGAGAGAGTGGATATGAAGGTACGGTACCAACCATGTCCAGCCCTGGAGGACAAGGTGTGTGATTCTTCAGTGTCACCTTCCCAGGAATGGATGGTGGCAAGAGTGTTCGGACAGCTTCATTTCCTCTTTACGTGTCCCCGGTCTTGGGAGTCAGCTGGACCCCAAGTGGCCCAATCTGAAGTCACGATCTAAGAACAGGGTGTCCACATCCACAGGGCAGGGGGCTCTAGTCTCCCAGCCCCTCTTGGGTCCTAGCCTCCCTGGCCCTGATGGCCTCTGTGGCCCCCAACAGGCCTGGAGGTCCCCTGGAGTAGAGAAGCCAGAAAGGGACTCTCCTAATCTTACTGGGACACAGCCTAGCTGCCCGGGAAGATGGAGAAATAGCACATTCCTCCCGAAATAATTGTCCTAGAGCTATTTCCAGCGGGCTCTTAGTGCCCAGGCCAGAAATGGCTGGTGATCTCCATGCCTGGGTACTGTCGGGACAAACAGCCCAGCGGCCCCATTCTCTACCTGGCAGGGTGCCTGCCCACCCAGCCCCCAGGCCAGAGCCAACCCAAGCCCTGGCTTAGGCCCCAAAAAGGAATCGTGGACACCTTTTCCCTTGCTCACTGAGCCCCCTCCAGTACTCTCCCTCTTTCTGGGGGAACCCCCAGATCCCTCCTTTCCTCTCCCTGTCTCGGTCACTGTAGCTCTCCCACTCCAGCACAAAGGCCCTTTAGGCTCTGTGACTGGGGGGGACTAGGAGCAGGAGATCCTGGGCCAAAGTGTTTAGAAATCCTGGATGTGGTCAACAGGAAACATCAGATAAACTCGAACTAGAGAACATTCTCCAAAAAACTGGCCTGTGTTCCTCGAGGCAGTCAGTGTCATTAGAGACAAAGCTAGGCTGACAAACTCTTCCAGACGGGAGGGGACTGAAGAGACGTGAGAATGAAATGCAGCACCCCCATCTTGAGTTGGATCCTGTGCTGAAAAACAGTTACCATCAAGTACATTGGAGGGACCATCGGTGACATTTGGATGCGGTCTAACTGCTGGACGGTAGATTGCACCAACATTTAATATCCTGGATTTGATCATGATAGTGTGCGTATGTTAGAAAATGTCCATGATCTCCCCGTGAGTAAGAGGTGCAGGCTGAAGTCATCCCTGATGAGCCACTGCTATCTGCAGGCTTATTCATAAATAAAATAAAAGTACATGTATGTGGGTACAGTGATAATTATGGCAAAAATGTTCATAATTAATAGATTTGGGTGAAAAGCACATATGAGAATTCATACATTTTTAAGTAGTCTAAGAATTTGTAAAATGACTGGATTGTTTGGGGTTTGTTTGCTTCTTTGCTTTGCAATGCTGGGGATCAAACCCAGGGCCTCATGTGTATTAGGCAAGTCCTCTATTACTGTCCCAAACCGTATTTCCAGTGTTGATGGGGGAATATGATGGAGAGATTTTCTGGAAAATATGAGACCTTGAAAGAGGATTTTGTTCATTCATTCAGCGAATGTCTTCCATGGCCCCCACAGACCAGGCCCCAGTGAGGGGCTTGGAGTTCCAAAAGGAACGTGGAAATTTGTGCGCTTGAGACTCTCAGGCTCTTCCCAGGGTCCCGCACATAGTAGGTGTTCAATATGGGGTCGTTGGTTGCATTAGAAGAGGAGAGAAGAGAGGAAGTTGCTCTAGTGTCCAAGAATGGGTCACCCAAAGAGACAGCACTTGAAGGAGACTTGATAAATGTTTGGTGACCCGATGTTTAAAAAAAGGAGAAATTGATGCTGACCACAGCAATCAGGAGTTGTCAGTGAGCTAGCATAAAACTTCCTGGCTTGAAGCACAATCAAACATGAGAAAAACAACAAGGAACACTGGAAAACAGCCACCTCAGCCCTCGTTTCAAAAATAGGGCCCATCTGTCCTGGCAGGCTTAAAGTTGCTCTGGCCCCAAGGCAGGGGCCTGGCCAGGATGACCCCTGGAGGCCCCTCCCAGCTCTAGGATTCCATGATTCTATGACATGGCCAACAGTCTGGAGTGGTGGCATGCAGCAATCTCCAGTAGAGAACCAGAGGAGGTCGATACCATCTGCCTCTGAAGAGACACAGTGAGACACCAGGCCCTTGTGGCAGATGGGGTTGGGCCCAGCAGAAAGGGAAGGGTGGGGTCCACAGCCCCAGCCCCACGGTTACCTCTTATATTTCTAGGAGGGAGGTGTTGATCCAGGAAAGGAAGAGGCCAGAGTCTGGACATTCCACCCATTTCAGACCCAAAGGACAGGGGCAGCTGAGAGGGGTCATGGGCTGGGAGAGGGGCAAGCAGCTGTTTTCTGGGCGGGGTGGGCTGAAACACTCCTCTGCTGGTACAAGGCAGTCATGACAAAGAGCCTGCCTTGTGTAGGGTGAGAGGTCACAGCCTGCCTTCCAGCTGGGGATGGCGGTGGGGGTGGGGTTAGAATCAAGGAACCAAGAGACAATGGGACAGCACTGCCCTTGGCTGGGCCCAGGCAGGCCAGGAAGAAGAGGTGGACCACATGAACTGGGAATCTCTTTGGCTGGATCAGGTCTTAGTCTCCTCAAAGTCCCCACTCTGGACCCAGGCAGAGGAGGAAGCCTGCTGCCCCTCCTCTGATGGGGAGGATGCGGAAGTCATGTACCACCCAAGAGGATCAAAGCACCCAGCTTGGCAGGTTCTGAGCTCACAAATCCAGCTCCGAGAGTAGACTTGGTGCACTACACCCTCTAGTCTCATGCAGTCCCTAAAATTAGGGTCCACAGAGTTTGGGGGTTAGCTAGAGCCCTTCTTCATCAGGCTTCTCCCCACCTACCACTCATCCAGGCGGGCAGGGCAGATGTGGTGAGAGTTCACCCTTAACAGGACTATGGAGGAAGCCAAAGGCACTTGCGATTATAGCATTGCTGATTGGGGGTGATTAGACACCCCCAAAATGTTACCCCGGCCTTTGCCTTGTGTCGTACAAGCTGTATGACATATAGTAGGCACATCACCTCTCTGAGCATCACTTTTCTCCACCAGCCAACTGGGAATACAGTACCCATAACCTTGATTTGTGATAGGAGTTAAATGGGTTGATTTTTGCAAGACCCAAAGCGAAGGGCTGGGCACACAGCAAGCATGTGTGTGGTGTCACTTTGGAAGCCAACACACATTTTCAGTGTCCAGTAACCAGATAACACAGCTGGTTAGCTGTTCCCATAGCACCACAGGCCTGTTTCTGCCTGGAATTTCTCCATTAGACATTCTAATCTTGGCTTTTGTGATTTCCTGGAGTCTTTTCATCAAAAGTGATTGGGAATTTCAGAATGTGGGTTGGAAGAAGAAGAAGAAGAAGAAGAAGAAGAAGAAGAAGAAGAAGAAGAAGAGGAAGAGGAAGAGGAAGAGGAAGAGGAAGAGGAAGAGGAAGAGGAAGAGGACAACGACGACACTGGCAAGGCAAGGTCTTGGGTTCAATCCCCAGGACTGGAAGAGAAGAGAAGAGAAGAGAAGAGAAGAAAAGAGAAGAGAAGAGCCAGGGATTTAGCTCAGCAGCATAAGTGTCTGCCTTGCAAGTGCGTGGTCGTGAGTTCGATCCCCGGTACCAAAAAAAGAAAAGAGTTCAGTGTAGTGGTTCACTCCTGTAATCCCAGCACTTGCGAGTCTGAGGTAGGAGGATTGCTGTGAGTTTGAGGCCAGCCTGGGCTATGTGGTAAATTCAAGACCAGCCTGGAGTACAGAGCAGGACCACCACCCCTTTCTAGATGATCCTCTGGCCTCAGTATTTCTGGAAGTCTTGACTTCTTCCCCTGCTCTATGCAGAGGAGGGCCTCCATTTTCTAATTGGAGATCCCCAGGCCTAAGAGGAGAGGGAGAGAAATTGGGCAGTGCTGAACCTCTGGGGGCAGAGGGGACCCTGTAGGAAAATCTCAGAGGGAAGTGATGAGTTGACCAGGCTCTCTCCTCCTCACCAGGCCAGGTAACCAGCCTCCAGACGCGGTAACGTCTCAGCCATCAGAGTGACCTGCACCTCTGGGACCATGTCCAGACGCCAGGTGAACCATTCAAACATTTGCAGACATGCAGGTCAACCTACCTACGCATCCTTCCCGCCCCGAGCTGCAGACTGGACCCAGGGCTGCAGCAGGGACCCATTTAGCCGCACCTACAGGCACCCTTCAGAGCAGTCCTTGAACCCCATTTTCCCCTGGGTGAGCCAGTCCTACAACTCCAAGTTTACAGAGAGCAGTCACCTGGAGAGAAGACCCAAGGTGGCCAGAAATCCCACTGGTCACAGCAGCAGCCCCCGATACCAGCTCTGTACAGACTGTCCTCCAGGTTCCTCCAACCCCACCTTCCTAGACCACATCATCAAAGGTATCAACTACTTGGGCCGATCGACCAGTGACTTCTACAACTGCCCCCAGACACTGAGCCTGCCCAGGCTTGCAGCCAACTATCTGGAAGGAGTTGCCAGTGCCCTCTACCAGGACAACCTGCAACACTCACCCCACAGTTACTTTAGCCCCAGAACCAGCATGGCCACCTCTGGAAGCTGCACCACCAGACCCTGTATGGGTGGCACCCCTGGGGGTGCAGATACTACACCGTTCCTGCCCCGCCCCGCCAGCGTGAGCAGGCAGCATCTGTCTCAGAGCCAGAGCCTCACCTCTGTGCTGCCTCAAAGGTCGAGTACCAAGCTGCCCGAACTCCCTTTGTTTGGTAGCGGGTTCTTAAGTCACCTGCCCAAGGTCTGGGAGGCCATCCACTCAGGATGGAGTGCCCCAGAGGCCAAATCTTCAGAGGGTTCACCCTCTATCTGGTGGTGATCTTGACACCACCTGTGCAATGGGTATATGTTCATCAGACCTTTGTTGAAGGAAATAAATTATGGCAAAATGCTTCTCCCAAGGTTCTGCTGGGGAAAATAACCATTTTGATTGGGGATTTCAAACTCACAGGCCACCAGGTATGGTGGTGCATGAGTATAATCGCAGCAGCCCAGGAGGCTGAAGCAGGAAGCTTGCTGTGAATTCAAGGCCACGCAAGGTTACATAGTGAGTTCAAGGCCAGATGGAACTCCATAGCGAGACTCCCCACCCCATCTCAAAAAAACAAAACAAAGTAAAACCCCAAAGGGCCTCCCTGGACAAGAGTTAATGAGTAAATTGCAGACGAGGGAATCAATGAATGAATTGGGCTGGAGGGAGCAGGGAGTGGTGGAGACTTTGGCTAGGTGATCACAGGCTGCTTGATCCATACTTGGCTCCCGTGAGTCATTGCCTCCATAAAAACCCAGAGATCTCATGGTGGGGGACAAGACAGGGGGTTCCAAGCTGGCCTTGAACTTCTGGCTTCAAGCGATTCTCCTGCCTCGGCCTTTTGAGTAGCTAGGACCTCAAGTGTATATCACTCCTCTTGGCTTTGGGATCTGATTTTCATGTGGCAGCAACAAATTAAAACTTTGCAGGCTGAGTGTGAAGCCCACAGGTCTCAGTTAGAAATGTTGAGTTTATATTTTGAGAGGATCACTGGGGACGTTCCGAGAATCCTTTAGCCTCAGTTTCCCCACGTAAAGAAATAGACAAGGTGTCCATTCCCCATCCCTACCTGCATTTCTTTCTTTTTAGGCTGGCTGTTGCAGCACAAGCCCATGTGCTAAAATGTAGAGGTAATTAGAAAAAGAATAACAAACACATACACAGTAGCAACTTCTAAATACTTTACACATATTTATCCTTTTTAAATTTAGTACTGGAACTCAAACCCCCCTGCATCTCATGCTAGGCAAGTGCTCTATCACTGAGCTACACCTCTGGCCTTTTTCAAAAACTTTTTTTCTTTTTTGTAAGAGACAGGATCTTGCAAAATTATCCAGGCTGTCCTCAAACATGTGATTCTCTTGCTTCAGTCTCTCTCTCTTTTTTTTTTTATCAGTACCAGGGATTGAATTCACGACCACACACTTACAAGGCAGGTGCTTATGCCGCTGAGCTAAATCCCCAGCCCCTCTTGCCTCAGTCTCTAAGGTAGCTGGGAACAGGTGGGTAACCAATGAGCCCGGCTCAGAATTATTCGTCCTTTTTTTAATTTTAAAGTATTCTTTTAAAGGTGTGATTTTCAATGATCATGGCCTAGAGGAGGCACAAGAAGCCCTAGCTAGAGTGAGAGGCATGGAACAGGCAACCAGGGAGGCTTACAGAATGGGGGACAGCTCTTCCCGGGAACTCTCTCCACAGAGGGCTTCTGTCTGGGCCAGATAAGACAGGAGGGTCAGGATGAGGTGGTTACCTGGTACCTTGAGTTTCTTGCCATCAATACCTGGGAGAGTGTTACCTGGACCACTGAGGATTCAAGTGCTGAGAGGCCCACAGGGCACCCAGCCCCATGACCCTGTTGTTCAAGGGACTCTAGAGACCTGGAGCAGCCTAGCTCTTGGTCTCTATTTCCCCCATCTGTGAATGGGTACAGAACACTACAAGCTCTGATGCTTTCTAAGGGACCCCTTGACTTGGATGTTTCTGGGTGTCTTCGTGGTTACCAGCCAGGCTTGGAGCATCCCAATCTGAAAACAGATCTTGCCTCCACCCAAGAACCCTGGATCCTATATCCACAGTCACCCCCCAGGATGTTCAGGGGCATTTCAGCCCTCGTAGCCCATTTCTGTGTGATTACAAACTTCAGACCTGGTCCCTGTTGTGGAGATCCCCTGTCTCTTTGATGATACGAAGGCCAGTGGCAGCTCAGAGTGTGGAACAGGGCTGACCTTGAGATTATGAGAACCTGGGGGCCCACAGGATTATTTCAAGGCAGTGGCCTGGCCCCTGTGGCCAAACAGAGAAGGTGACAGACTTGAGTATCCTCCATGGGATGACCACAGTGCTCCCAGGGTAGGTAGATGGGAGAGGGTGCCAAATTCCTGGTCCACTGAATTCTCCCCCACTTGTATTCCAAGGGAGATCATCCAAGGGTCAAAACTGAACACATCATACACTCTTTCCTCTGGCCTCCCTCTCCTTCCCCTCCTCCCCAGGGAGAAATCTGTGCCTCAGTCTCCAGGGGAACACTCACAGGCCCTCTGTCCAGCCACTCAACCCCCTGCTTCCTAGTCCAGATCTCTGGATTCCTGGCTCTGCAGCATGAGAGTTGACTGCCCCTTGCCCTGCTAGGGTTGTTCACCTCCGGAATGGTCATTTACCCAAGGATAGAGTAAGCCCCTTGGCCAGGGCACTATTCTTGAAGTTGGTAGCAGCTAATTCAGTCCTGCTCACAATAGGGGTCTAATCTTTATGTCCATGGTGGCTACAGGGCCTTGCATCCACCATGCATGCAATAGCAGTAATTGCTTCTACTCTAACGATGATTATCTGCTTTATACAATGGATTTTTCAATAGCCAACAATATTAAAGATTCCAGCCAACATTTATTAAGCTCTTAACTACATGCCAGACATTGTTTTAAGTCCTTTGGATTCATCTACTCATTTAATGCTTTAATCAACTCTTTAAGGAAAGTACTACTGTCCCTGTTTTTCAGAAACTAAGGCAGAGGTCAGTTACAAATTATTCTGATTTTAAAAAAGTGCACAGAACATAGTGGCTCTTGAAAAATAGTTGGCACTGTCCTTATAGACTGCTACCTACAAATGGGTGCCAAAAAAAATAGCCTTCACAATTATACACAGTGGGGCTCAGTGTATGATAGATGTCATTACAAGGCCCCATGCCTGTGGGTGCTCGGCAAAGTTTGCCCATTGGTTAGGAACTGGATTGCAATCCGTAAGGACAACAGCGTCTCTGCCCTTGACCCAAACTCCTGCCAGGGATGGACAATCACTGCTCACAAGTCTATTCCCAGTTACCGAGCCTGAGTCCAGAGAAAAATAAGTAGCTAAAATAAGTACTAAATAGTAGAGAAATTTCTTCAAAAGTCACCTGTGGTCTCCACTACCCCCTCTGTGGCCCCTCAACATTTGATATCATTTGATACAAGACCATGATACTGATACTATTTTATGCATTAAATCCACTGTGGTCCTTTTCAAGCAGATAATCACTGGTAGCTTGAAAAGTTCCTCTGTCCCATGCAGCCATGCAGAAGCCATCGGAAATCCTCAGGCCACATCCCCAGCCATGCATCTACAGGACCCATGTAAACAGGAAGCAGCAAGCTGGCTGTAGGACAGCTGTCTCTTTTGTGTATAGAAGTGACCTACATATCTATGTGTGGGGGTGGCCAAGGAAAGTCCTTCACACCTGCAGGAGGACATCCTAGGTCATTAAGCACTGTGGACCAAGTTTGCTGCCAAGGCAGAAACATAGCCAATCATCTCTCTCTATACTTCCAGGCAGGGTTTTAGTAGCCCACAGAGGGAAACTGGGGCTCAGAGAGACAGAGAGAGTAATTTGCCCAAATTTCTGCAGCTGGTCCGTAGCAGAACTGAGCTCTGAATCTCAACCAATGCCCAGGATGGTCAAAGAGCCACTGTGTTGTGTACACTTTCACAGCAATGTAAAGGCGATGTCTTTCTTAGTATTTATTGAATCCATTCTAAGAGAAAGAGGGATACATCTCAGCCTCCAAAATATGCAGTAAATTTGACGAGGTAAGGATGATGTTTTTCCTGGAGATTTGGGTTGCCCCTCAATACCAGTGCCCTAAGTAGGGAAGGTACCCCTAGGGGGGGTGTTTCTAGCAAGTAATAAACAAGGGAGAAATTTCTCCAAAGGCCACCTGTGGTCTCAACTGCTCACTCCATGGCCCCTCAACATTTGGTATTGTTTGTATAGGATCGTGATACTGACATAATTTTATGCATTAAAGAAATCCATTGTGGTCCTTTGCAAGCAGACAGCTTAATATCACTGTCTTCAGATTCTAGGAAATAAACAGTTTTGTTTGTTGCGGTGGTAGAGATCAAACCCATGGCCTCACAGAGACTAGGCAAGTGCTCTACCGCTGAGCTACACTGCCAGCTCCTAAATGCAGCCTTTTGAGTTACAGAGGGGAGTGTGTCAGAGACACATCCTGTGCCTGACCCTCACCCCACCCCAGCCTTCCCTCCTCTCTGAACCTCAGCCTCTGAGTCTCTGCCCACCCATCTTTGACCCCACTCTCAGCCCCATGTCACCCCCTACTGCCCCCTGCTCCTGCTGGCCCCACATAGCAAGCCTGAACCCACTCCACCCAAACTGTGCCCACACTGCACTTTGGAGTTGAGATGTGCAGAGGCCTCGCTCTGTGCCCGAGTGGGTCCCACCATTTTTGGTAAACTTTTCAACATCTCCTGAGCCGGAATTTCTGGTGAACAATTGAACAAAGCTGGGAACTTGGAGGGAGAAGGCACAGGACATTCCAGAAGGATTTCTGTCTCGAGCTCCTAAAGACAACAGCAGAAAGCTTGTGGCCTGGTAAAATCCTGAAAGAAATGGAAAATCTGTCCTATACGAAAGGCAGTGCAAGCCAGAGGAAGGAACATGGGACCGGAGGGTCAACAGGCCTCTCCCGCCCATTTGTGTCCCCGCAGAGGCCCCACCGCTTCCCTAACCTCAGATATGAGGTCCTCTGGTCACTGAGGGAGTGACCAAAGTAAACACACAGATCCACAAAGAGTTGTGTGCCCAGCAATGTTGTGTTAATAACAAAGACTGGGAAACGGCCCAAAGGTCCAGCAGCAGGACCGGGTTAACGAACTGTGGGGTGTCGATGAGACATAATACCAAATACTCACTAGAAATATGAGGTGCCCAGGCAGTGTCAGTGCTGTTCAGAGTCACTGGCCCACAAATTGCTAGCAGTTGCCTTCTACAATAAAGGGTTTACGCCTGAGTGTAAATCTCTGTCCTGCTTCCAATATGGAAGAAGGATTTTAGGGGAAGAAACATCAGCCAGACCAAA